TAATGGTTAGTTTAAGTTGATACCTTAGATAAGAACTTGAATTGCTAAGATATACTCGATTGAAAAGCGCCAGAGAACCAGACTTGGTGATATAAGAATCCTTTCCCATTGGCCGTATTTCCAAGGCTGAGATCATCGGTGTAGTCGTCCCATTCTTAACAAGACAAATCTGCAACGAATTCGATGTTGGGATGTGAAAGATCTCTTTTAGTGTACCATTCACTAGCCTTTCCAAATCTATTGTGACCCATGGATTAGGTCCAATATACATATCAAACTTGGGGCTAATGTCACGACCATCATAATTTCCATATACAAACCTAGCCCTGATCAAATGATTTCTTCCCTTCTCAACTTTTAGATTGTAGCAGTTCCGTGTTCCGTCTGGAAAATATCTCAGCGTCCGGTATGGCTTCAGGAAGTCACTCTCCCGATTTGCTTGGATTCTACTAGTTTTTCCACTCTGGATGAATGTTGCGTCCGAAGAGAACTGTAAGTTAGTAAACTCCTCTTTATAAGGAGACAGTTCATTAGCGGGCAGCCCGCAGTCCAAACTGATGAACCCTGTTAAGCGGTATCGAATAAAATTCACCGTTACAATAGATAACAGTAGAAATATTGCCAAATACAAGTAATTAAGAACCAAAATGGTCATAAGGAGAAGAATACACAAATATGTGCATACCTTGTTGGCTCTGAGCTTGAACAATATGAATGATGGCCAAAGTTCCGATTAGCAGCAACAAAAGTCCAAGAGATCTCTCCATATTCTCTTAACTACCCGCGAATAATCAAGAAAACCATTGCCTAGGTTTTGGAGGATAAAGGGAGAATATATAAGCAAATCCAAATTGAAAACTAAAAGAAAAGACTTTTTCAAGTCAATGAAAAGAAAGAGTAAATGTGTTTTCTAGAGCAACTTCACCATGGGAAGAAGAAGAAGGATAAGAGTAAAACAACAATGTTCCAACATCATCATTTTTGGAATAGTATAGTTTCTTGGTCAGACAATAATGCATCTTTTACTTACAAAGAACCTTTCAATGACACAAAAAGATAATGGATTTAATAGCCACCAGAGTGTGATACATGAAGAAATGTTCAGAAAGAGTTGACATTTAAATGGTCGGTGAATTGTATGAGTAGTGAAACCTGATTTTTTGTTTTCAATCATGAATACAACACTACGCACAATGATCTATGGTGACTAATTATTAACAAGAAGCGTAGATCAAATGAAGAAACAAGTTTTATAACAACTTACCCTGAGCTAATTTCCGGGTCACTATCATGGAACTGTACATGAGTGTGTAGTTTTAGTTTCCTGGTCAGAGAATATGCAACTTGCTTTTAGTATTATGACCTCCGAAGAATGTATCAATCACGCAACAAGACATTGGCTTTAGCAGCCACTAGAGTCAGCAGCATGACGCAACGAAGGAAATCTAAGAAATAGTCAATGGTCGTTGACTTTGATTGGTGAAGACAAACAGCTTTAGACCACACACAAATCAAAGGCAGCAAAAGCTTAAAAGTCGAGACTCAGTGTTATACGCTAATGACAACCCAAGAAACAATATCAGAATCCATGAGTAAAAGTTGAAAAAATCGAGAGGAATGAGTCGCGTAAACTTCGAATTTGTCAAACAGGAAGTGCGAGAGACCGAGAGAAACCGGAATCATTCATCTATCTCAGTCAGCTTCGGCGAGTCAGAGAAATGGGAAATGATAATCTCCGGTGGGAAAGACCGTCTACGGCGGCGAGACCTCCGTCGGGAGGGTTTCGTCATCAGCAGTTCCCGGCGATGAGACAGCTTCATCGGCGGCGATTGAAGTGCGACGCTTGACTTCAGAAATTAGTGAAATTAGGGTTTTGTACTGCCATCTTCACGGTGTGACACTCAAATAGTCAAACACATATTACAACGAAATAAAAAAGTCAACCAAAGAACAGAGAAATACGCCATGTCGAACCAAAATGTGCCTCGTAATCTCGTATTACATTTTTTTTTTCCCTAAAAATCATATCAATATTATTACTAAAGCTGCACATAACGGATAATACAATATTTGTAGTTCGATTTGTTTTACCAGATATCAAATTTTCCGATTCGTTTTGGTTTTAAAAGTTTCGGATATCTGCAAATTTAATGAATAATTTGTCTAGCCATATTGTTGCCTAAAAATTCAAACTTACGAAGAAGGAAGTTTCCTCCTATTTATTCCCACCAATTTAAATAACTTACAGAGGTTTTAGTTGCGTTAAACATTTTGCAGACAACTTTCTGGTAGTTTTTACTTGTGAATCTGTGATACTTGCAGCACACACTATCTTGCTATGGGAACCATCCCACTGTCAAAGGCCATGCTTACTTCAGGGGAACTCAGTGAATCTACGCCTCCACTCATATTTCTCCTCGAGTTTTCAGACACAAGACATTCTTTTAGTTCGATAATAACATGAGACATGGTTGGTCGTTTAGCTGAAGTTGGATTCACGCACGACATTGCAAGCTCAAGCGCTCTCCAGGCAGAGCGAGAATCATAATCCCCATTAAGCTTCGGGTCCATGATCTTAGCAATATCTCCTCCGTTAAGTACAGACCCAACCCATTGTGTAATGTGCGAGTTTCTGCGGTTTTGATCAATCACTGGTTGGTTTGTGATCATTTCCAATAACACAATCCCGAAACTGTACACATCACTTGTCTCACCCAACCGACTTGTCTGATAATATCTGCAAGACAAGAACACATAACAATCTTCAAGCATTGAAAAAGGAAGAGATAGTGAGTGATTTGAAAATTGTTGATACTTACTCGGGATCAAGGTAACCAGGAGTACCAGCAATCACCGTCGAGACATGAGATTCCCCTCCAACTGGAAAAGACCTCGAGAGCCCAAAATCAGCGAGTTTGGCTTTATACTGCTCCCCCAATAATATGTTTGTAGTTTTGACATCTCTATGAACCATTGGTGGTGTGCACCCAATGTGTAAATACTCCAAACCTATGCAATGGATTTTTCCAAAATTAAATGATTATTGTAAATCCAATCAAATAAATTATAGTCTATGGTTTAAGCTAGTACAGACCTAGCGCTGCCTCCACAGCTATTCGTAGCCGAATAGCCCAATCGATGACAAATTTGCCTCCTTTTCCTGTGTATTAGATCGTTAGATCCTTTCAAGTTTCCAGGAAATAAACAAATGTTTCATGACCTCATGATACATGTGAACCAAGTTTCTAGAAAATTGTACACCAAGTTTTACCTAATAGATGTTGTCTTAAGTCTCCATTGGGTACAAACTCATAGATGAGAGCCAAGTGGTCTCCTTCATCGCAATATCCGACAAGGCTTACCAAATTCGTATGGTGAACTCTCAGAAGAAGATCAACCTATAATTCACCAAACAAGAAGTCCATAACCTTTGTGATGTTAAAAACAGATACTACTTGGAAAAGATTGTACTACCTCTGCCTTGAACTCTTTGTAGCCTTGGGTTGATGATTGAGACAGTATTTTAACAGCTACCTGTTCAGAACCATCTACAATACCGTGACAGACAACGCCAAACCCTCCTTCCCCTACAACTCTTTCGAAATTATTTGTCATTTTTATAACCTCTGCGTAAGCAAACCTTCTCTTTTTCATTTCGATTGATGGCTCAGGTGAATTAGCATATGTAGCATTCATTATTAGCTTAGTCGGTGGCGAATGAACAGCTGTTAGATCAGAATTTAGGGGGTTAGCAAAAACCATATTAATGAGACTTATTGGTTTTCTTTTCTGATATACCTTCAACACTCGGCGGCTTTTTCTTTCT